CATACATGCATTGATTTATACACTAAGGCGCACACAAACTCACGCATGCACACACACACACACACACACACACACACACTTTGAAACAAACAAACAAACTCAACACACAAAACAAACACACACACACACACACACACACACACACACACACACACACACAAATAGACAAACAAACAGACAAACAAACAAACAACGAAAGCAAAAAGCCTCACATATTACAATGACGAGGACTTCAGTCGACAGGTCGTAGCATCCACTAGTGTGTCGTGCACGACAAGTACAGTAGGTGGCGTTTAGATAAGGTGTGAACACAACCTTTCCATCTGTCACGTTCACGCCGTCACACTGTACATAGATGTCGGAGGGCGAGACCTCGGGGAATCCCCCATCAACTCGACATACCATACTGTTTTCTTGACCGTCAACAAAAACAACGCTGTTATCTGCAGTTACGCCAGTGAAATATTTACCGTTGATGGTCAGTTTTGGGGCATGTTTGGGAGGTTCTGGTCAGACGAAAGGATGCGTTAAACGTTATTAGCAAGAACATGACATGTAAGATTGCAATATTGTTTATTATGATACTGCACTATCTATATAATTATGCAATAATACATTGTTTCAAAAGCATGTATATAACTTCCTTTGAAAGCTGGTGCCCCCCCCCCCTCCCCACTCTTGTTCTCTATGGACTAAATGAATGGGTGGCGTGCGGGTGCTCTAATCAGGTTTATTACGTCTTTCCTATCAAACAAAAGTAATGTATTTCATTATTATCTCTTCTTCTGTGTATTTAATACTATGTAGTCACCTTTCTTACCAATGAAACTTTCCGACCAGTCCATCGCTAAGGAGCAGCTATTCAAAATTTAGAATTTCCTCTTTCAAATATTGGTCATTGGCTCATTCCATAACGATGCTTAGAAACTGATACAATACGACATACAATCGGTTCATTCTTCTTAATCACCCAGCACATTGAACGCTTTAGGTGCTTATTATGTTGATTAAAGTCTTATATATAGGAAGAATCATAGATAAACTATCGCAAGCTAAGCCATTAACTCCTTCGTTTCTAAGACGTAGCAATCTACGTGTGTGCAGATAAAACAAAATATTAATATAAAAGCCATATTATTCTTTTCCTTATCAAAGATTAAAAAACAAAATAACAGTCTTTAGTATATTATTATATCTTCTTAAACTCCACCTACAAACCAGTAGACAAATGGCATAGAACCAGTGTGGGAGAACCCATGCGAGTACATAAGTCTACACGGAAAGTCCTATTGCGTTTTGTTACTGGACATCACATCTCGTTGCGACAGTGGGTTCAATCTACCCATATTTTGGTTTAATTTAGGCAACCAACATTTAAGTCCGATACCTGTCTTTAGAGACCTTTGAATGGCCTTCAAAACATTTTTACCAGGTCGATGAGCGACTCACGAGTCGCGAGATATAGACAATTTCTAACCATTGTTTTTTTCCTAAATCTTCTCGTCATATTTTTTCAAACTATCTTTATTGATAAACCATTCTTTGTTCTTACAGGAAACGTTTAAATGGTTATCGTAGAAGTCTTACCTTGGCTAGTGTAGTCTTACCCTTTCATCTACCAAATCTGCGTTAACCAAGCTGAACCCTTCCATCGTGACATCGCGCCGAGCCGTAACGTCACGCATTTTTCGCCTTGAGCTTTTGGTTCCCTCTCTTCATTGTTTGAAATGTACAAGTACAAGACAGGAAAATACATCGCAAAGTGAATTTTAGCTTCAGTTTTAAAAGTTAATAAATTTCGGCAAAGTAACTGACCTTAAATTGTGCCCTATTTCAACGATAGTATAAGAAACGAGACTTTTTAGAGCCTAGTATTTCCTTTCTACTGACCCCCCCCCCTCCATTTTCCCCTGAGTAAGGCCTTACAGCACGTAGGGCCTATAAAGACCCCGGGTTCGTGTTATTAACAAAGTCAAAATTAAATTGAGGCGCCTATTAAAGTATATGATGCTATTATTTGCTTGATAAAGTTTCTTAGGCCTGTTGTTACTTGTTAGTACTGATCCAGATTTTCTTTCTTTTCCGTCGCATGAACTAGAATGAAAATAAATGCTTAGAACTGGAATGTGGGATCCGCTGCTTGCCCCCCCCCCCCTTTTACCCCCTCCCCCTCTCTCTGTCTGTCTGTCTGTCTGTCTGTCTGTCTGTCTGTCTGTCTGTCTGTCTGTCTGTCTGTCTGTCTGTCTGTCTGTCTCTCTCTCTCTCTCTCTCTCTCTCTCTCTCTCTCTCTCTCTCTCTCTCTCTCTCTCTCTCTCTCTCTCTCTCTCTTTCCGTTTCGATGTGTTCCCACTCCCTTCCTCTCTTCATAACCGTACCCCCTTTCGTTCTCTACCCCACAGTGCCTGCTCTTCAATTTCACATACATTCTCTATATATTATATATCCTTCCTGTCATCTTATTTGTCTTATAATCACCACCGCCGCCGTCCTTCCACGACTCACGGTATTAGTAGCGTAAGCCTATTACTCTTTTCCACATATGAAACAACCAAGAAGAAAGATGCCAATTGCAACAAAGTGAGAACTTTTGCTCCTCAGTTCTTACTACTTTATTTTTTCCTTCCTCTGGTATCCTTAGGGTGTCGAGGGGAGGTGCAGGTGTCGGTCCTGTGCGAGGTGTGTAGCGTCTGAGATAGATATGTTTGGTCTTCCTCTGGATGTGAAGCCGGATTCACGGGTGTGGTAAGCTCTACCCGCTAGTTGTTTCTATGGCATCCCGGTTAGATGTCCAAACCATTTGACTCTTCGATGCTCTAAAAAATTTACTACTGGTAGACCTATGGTCTCGTTCCTTATGCGGTCTCCTCTGGTGACGTTGGTGTTTTTTGCGGAGACACCTAATTTCGCATGCATGATTAATCTTTCTTGTGCCTTGTTTAGAGACCATGCTTGGTACTGGTTTCTTAAGGTTGGTATGAAAATTCTATTGATGAGCTGGGATTTTTACTTCAGTTGGGATGTTCTTGTGACTGAGCAGGGTTGCTAGCTGCTAGCTTACTGCAATTGCCTTTATAGTTCTTGATTCTATTTCGTTGTCCCTACGCCCATCTTGTGTGAAGATGCTTCCCAAATGTTTAAATTCTTCTACTAGTTGAAGCTGTGTTCCGTCAATAAGAATGTTGAGTTTCCCTGGGTTTCTGCTGACCTTCATAACTTCTGTTTTTGAAACGGACATTTTCATGTTTAGGTGTTTACATTCCTCATTTAGTTTTGTGGAGTGTTTTTATATTCCATATTCATCTGTATTTAATATACTCTGGTCATCAGCAAATAGAAGCTCGCTTAGTTCATTGATGTTCTCGTTTGCTGCTTTCGTGATCTTATCCATGCAAGTGACGAAGAAAAGCAGAGAGAGAACATACACTCGTCTTGTCTTACCCCAGACCTGATGGGGAACCTGTCCGATAGTCCTTCTGTTGATCTTACGGCACACAGGCTGTTTTTATAAAGAGCCATGATGTTCTCCAGGAATTGTCCGATTACACCATTAAAAAAATAATAATATTCCTCTAAGACTGCTCAAAATTGATTTCTATTTACCCGGTCGAACGCCTTTTTCCTGGTCCACGAAGACGATATTGAGGTCCTTGTCATGTCCCATGGCAGATTCACAAAACTGTCTTAATGCAAAAATAGCGTCAGTGTAGCCCCTGCCTTTTCTGAAGCCAAACTGAGATTCATTGAGTTGTGCCTCTACAATTGGACTCATTTCTCATGTCCAGTATCTTGACAAACGTTTTACCCACATGGCTGAGAAGAGATATTCCTCTGTAGGTTCCACAGTCTCTTTTGTTACCTTTCTTTTTCCAAACAGGTATAATGACAGCTCGCTGCCAGTCATCGGGTATTGTTTTTGTCGCCCAGGCCAGGTTAAATATCATCCATAGCCAGAGTTCTGCGATATGGCCACATAGTTTGATCTCTGCTGCTGTGATGTTATCAACGCCTGGCGCTTTGTTTGTGGGGCTTTTCTTTATAACATGTTGGGTTTCGCTTAGCAGTATTAATGGTTCTGGAGTGGTTTCTTTCAGTAAGAAGCTATTTGGTGTTGTTTCTCCTGTAAGACTCAGCAGCTCCTGGGAATAGCGTTTCCACCTTTCCTTAATCTTATTCTTTGGCTTACTGAAAATAGGGTTTCCTTTCTCATCATGGACTATTTCAGTTGGGTAAAGTGGTTCTTCCTTCTAGTATCCTCAAGCTTTTAACTCTGTTGTAAAACTCGCAAGGGTCTTCTTTACATTTAGTTGCCCGCTGTTGCCCATATACTGTCCAGGATATATTTTTAGCTTCTTTTACTACCCTTGTTGTTTGGCGGTGTTCCTTTCTGTATAGGATGTAGTCTTACTCTGTCTTTTATTTCTGCCACTTTTAGAAGGGTTTTTTCTTCAGCTGGATGGCTTCCTTCGCTTGGTCATTCCACCATAATAATATTTGTTATCCTTTTCTGCCAGACCCCCCCCCCCCCC